CGCTAATAGTAAAGGGAATATTTTAAATATATAGCGTACACATAAACTGATATTGATTTATTATCTTAGCCTTTTTTTAGGTGGATAAAATACCTTTTCCTGCCATCAGGGTTAACAAAAGTATGCTTACTGCTCTAAACTATAGGTATTAATCTGAACACATGTGAAATATCTCATAAAACCTGACTTTAAAAAATCCAAACTATTCCTCTGAGCTACAAAGACTAGCAATAGGCTACTTAAGAATAAAGCTACATTTACAAATAACATGAACAATATCAGTCATAAGAATAATTATACATGAGACTTACAAAAAATGTTGTGCACCTTTATATGCCTTCATTTCCCTATAGCAGTCTCACTTGGCTTGGCTTCACTGCTGACCAATCTTGAACCTTTCCCCAAGGCAACCATACAGACAGTCTGCTGCGTCCAAGCACAGTGAGACACACAGCACATGGAAACACACACACACACACACACACACACACACACACACACACACACACACACACACACACACACACACACACACACACACACACACACACACACACACACACGCAGAAAGAATTACAGATACGAGTGCCAGGTCTTTTCAATCAGAGTTTAATGGGGTGTGAGAGAAGTAGACTATGGTCGATATGACTGACCATCTGTAAATGGACTGAGTCATTTGAACTCTTACTGGAAGGCTTGCATAGCTTTCTGTGCGCTTCTCTTCTGTTCTCATGTGTAAAATGAATGAATACATCTGTGCTGCAGTCTGCTTACTGACAGTCATGTCTTCTGTTGCCCATTTTAAGGATTATAAAATATGTAAACTTAGAGTGCATACTGTAAACTGGGAGCACTTGCATACAGACACACTTCCTAGGCTTATAATCAATCAAAGATCAGGGTTGTTTCAAGAACTATAAGAACAAATAATGTAGATATTTGTCACCATTTTATCGTTTTACAATTTCTAAAAGACGGACAGGGTGGGTCACCTGACAGGATCAAATACGTCCCAGTCTTTATAAAATGAAACATATGTGGCTATTTCCATATTTTGAAATCCGTTTGAAGATCTCTTTAAAGAGGCAGAATCAGATGTTTGCTTAGGAGCCTCAGAAGACCCCAGCGCTGTTTGATCTTCACAAACAGCGACGCTTTAAAGTGGAAATGTACAGATGTACTGCAGTATCAGTCTTGACAGGGGTCACTGAAGCCCATAACAGGCTTCAAACAGACCTCCCTTTTATAGTGTAATAGAAAGGGATTCAAATGCTTGAGTGAAATTGGTTATGGATCACTCAGGTTTCATTATAGACCATGTGAACAGCCCAGCAAACACAGAATTCAGTTAAAAAGACAGATAAGGAAATGCATAATAAAACATCAAAAATGTGGACTTTTTGCTTCAGCTGTTTGAAATAGAATGTCCCCTATTTGAAGAATAAAATACTTAAATCACAATTTACTTTAAAAACAGGACAACAACGACATGGCCTTCACTTAAATAAATAAAAACCGAACTCAAATGCTATCACACAGGTTTTATTTATCTGGCAAAAAACACTTTTAAACTTGCAAATGGTCATTTGTAGCCCCCCTTTCATGTGTTATAAGCTATCAGAGACATTTTGCTCTGCTGTGTGACATTGTGATGCGCTGCTTGTTCGCTTCGCGATCCCAGACTTCCTACTGATCCCTTTTTTTTTTTGTCAAAAGCGGAAATATGTGGTTTCAGTTTACAGGTCGTACCTCAGACACAAGTAATGCTACACAGAGAGAGAATGAGAGGGGAGATAATGAAAATAAAAAACAGGTATGTCTGTCTGTTCAAACACACCTCTCAAAGAGGAAACAGCTGCAGGTGTAAACAGAGATGAACACACACACACACACACACACACACACACACACACACACACACACACACACACACACACACACACAAAGCTGTCACACTATGTTTGGCTCTTTTATTGTTTTTTTTAGCTACAGCTTGGATACATTACCTTGTGCCAGAAGTAATTTCAAGAAGGCTGTAAATGTTTGATATTTCCTTGCTCAGTCAACCTGATTGGACAAAATCACCTTTCTTTAATTCACTGTTCTGATTTTTACACTTTTCCTCTGAACCATCTATCAAAAAAGGAAAAGCCTTGCATTTGCAGTACCATGCTTTAATTTAATATCTGTTCGCCAACATTTTTACAAGCTTTAAATATACAGAATCTGGCAGTGAGATCTTCTGGAAAGAGAAGAAAGATTAGAACTATATCTTTCTAATCTGGGAGTGAAATAGAGTGTGAAGAAATTGAGATTGAGAGAGACACTAGGCCTATTTTACATCATGAAGTCATCAGATCAGATTCTCTGCTTTGTTTTATCCCCTGTTTGTGTTTAGTCTTTGTGCCCTCCATCCTCACTTTCACCTTTCTACCTACTCTTTTTTCCCTTGTGTTCCAAGTGCCTCAGAATGACATTACTGAACCCGGTGCAATGTCAGGCAAAGTGCAGAGTAGTTGTGCCTTTAAAGTTGGACATATCAGAGAAGACTGAGTAAAGCACAGCTGGGTAAAATAATTTGTGTCCGCTAGGGGGGGCTATGATGGGCCCTATTCAAGTCATGGGTCTCAAATAGACTACACCTGAACAGAAACATTGGAGAATTTGCATTAGCATATGCTTATAGACTCCTGTGTTGTATGTATCTTATTCCTCGTTGATATTTTCTTCCAATGTTAAAATAGGTAAATGTGATCCATCCCTTATCAGATGTCTAATAATGAATAATTCCACAGCTGTGAGATCGTCTATAAATGCATATTTCTGTCTTGCCAGCCACCAAACCTCATCATAGTCTCTCCAGCCTGTTCTTTGTCTGTAGAATGAAGCCCCGGGGTCGTTCTTCGCGTCAACAAAACGTGTTGTATTTACCCAGACGTCTGACAACACCAACAGCTGCCCCCGTGTGAACCAGGAGTTTGACGGTGCAGAGCGTAGAACCAGAGCGCATAGATCTGCCTCCTGCTACACACCAGCAGCAAAGTGTGTGAGAAGCCTACAATCTGAATTTTTACTATCTGTTAAAAATAACCTTCATCAAAAATTAAGCAAGCTTTCTGCTACAATGTCATTCACGAGATTAAGTTATTTCCATACATTTTGAATTTTCAGCAGTGGTTTAACAAGTTGTAGGTAGAAATTAGTGTATTTAATAATAATAATAATAATAATAATAATAATAATAATAATAATAATAGATCCAATAATAATAATAATAATAATAATAACAACTTTAATTTATATAGCGCCTGTCATCAACCCAAGGTCGCTTAACAAAGAAACATTTAATTTGAGTTAATGTTGGAAGGCTTTGTTGAACAGATGAGTTTTCAGGGTTGATTTGAAGATGTTCAGAGAAGGGGAGGGAGTTCCAGAGGGCGGGGGGCAGCGACACTGAAGGCACGGTCCCCCAAGGTGCGGAGGCGTGAATAGGGAATGGAGAGCAGGCCGGAGTCTGAGGATCGAAGGGTGCAGGACGGGATGTATGGGTGGAGGAGATCTGTGAGGTACTGAGGGGAGAGGGCATGTCTTTATTCTTTATTTTGTCATGTTCCAGTTCACGGCTATTTACTTATAACACAACAAGTGATGATGAAATAGGCGTTGGAACAATAATAACATGATCATACATTTAATAGGATACTTTTAGATGTTTTTAATACATTTATTTGGTTGTTTATTGGTTAGAATAGAAACACATTTTCCATATCAGTCATGCACTGCCCTCCGAATTCTGCACATTGTGACTGCACATTTTTTTACATTTGTATTACGACCGATACTTTTTTCATTGTTTTATTTGTATGTTTATGTATGCACCATTAACGGTTTCTGATTCTGATTCTGATTTTCCTCATGGAGCCTATAAATCAACAGTGCTAGTCATTTTTCTAATTCTGACTGTCACCAAAGGCAACCTACATGCTTCCTTATAAATTTAGATTTGTTTAACCTATATGCAAGAGTGGCCCTGTCCCGCATGAAGTCTGCTGAGCTCCATTAAAGGTGGAGTTCTGTGGTCTCCATGTCTGTGCTGTGATGTAACGCAGAGTAAAGCGCTGTTATTGTGGGTTTTCTCATGTTAATGCCTCCAGTTTGTCAGGCATTAACACTAATCTATCCCCGGGATCTCCACTGGCACCTTGATTGCCCGTAGGCCTCCCATTGGAGAGACTTCAGTCTGAAACTGAAGATACAATTCTGAGAATTAAAACTAGGGATACAAATAAGGCAACTAGTGAGTGTCGATACAATATGTATTTTAGTTATTGTGAATGCTAAAGGTCTGCACACCTTGTTTATTTACATGAATAGGCTACAATAAATGCAGGAGACTTTACGTGTCGCAGGCGGGGTTATGTTTAATCAGATTAATCCTGTGTGTGTGTGCATGTGCATGTGTGTGAGGGAGAGAGAGAGTGGGCGACGAATATGGAGGGAGGGGTATATGCAGTCAACAGGGGGTAGGTAGAGTGAAGTCGCCCGACAGAGATGCTCACGCACGCGTAAGAGAGGGGGAGAGAGTGCTTGGCAGACAGACAGAGCAGTGAGTAGAGAAGTTTGGGTTGTTTAAAGTGCAGCCCGGCGGTGTAGTTTGCTCATTCACACCATGCAGGCTCATCTTCACCAACTAAACAACTAAAAACAAACCCTACATCTCTATTTTGGTTCCAGGTGACACGTGCGCGGACCTGTATGCTAGACAACTTTTGGATAAGTTTGCGCAAACTTTGCAAAACACAGGAGGAAGTGGAAGAGAATGAGGCGTGGAGAGCGCAGTGTTACCGGCAGTGAGAGAGGGTGACCCTGCGTAAACTCCCGATGACCACCTCTCTGTCGCTCTCTCTCAAACACACGTGAAACAGCAGCAGCGCGTGCATGTCCAGCGCCCAGGCCAGCATGACTCTGTCCGGCGGTCTGTCGGATACTTGTCAGCTCGTTTTACGCGACCGCATGGAGCCGGAGCTGTGGATGTAGAATGAGACTTATTCCAATGCTTTCTGGGGAATAGTTGGTGAAACACGTTGTGAAGCGAACACAAGCCACCGTGCACACTTTGGAGAGAGCTACGATGCGGGGCACTCTGGGCGCATTCATTCAGTCCTGTTTGATACTGCTGGTCCGGGCAGACCAGTGGAGGCTGAAGGACTCCGCCAACTGCGAGCTGAACAAGAAAGTAAGTGATTATGAAGCGAAAATAAATGAGTAATTGCACTGTTTAGGTGTTGCAAAAGTAGCTTTATTTAATTGTATTTTCTCGAACTCTCAGAAATGCAACGCTATCTTGTATTTTACAGTGTGAAGTGTCAGTTAAGGAGTCCACTTCAACTTTTTTTAAAATATTTGTCATGATTTATACATCAGGGACACAATATTTGGTGCAACAATACAAGGTTGAGTTGCACATCTTATAGTTTACTTAAAATTACTTCTGTGTTTTAAGTGCATAGGCTACTGGACTAATCAGTCTTGTCAATTTAAACTCTGATGTTTTTTTTAACTGTAACTAGTTGCCTTCTGATGGATTACTATTTATATCGTATTACTTCAAATAATCCATTAAAGTTGTACAAAAAGTTGGCAAAACGGTTGAAAAATGCCTATCACAAGTCCCAAAAGTGTCTGCAAATGAGAAGTTTTGAACTGTTCAAAAACTAAAGAAATTCAAATTATATAGATATCATTATTATTAGTAATTGATTATCTGTTTATCTATCCAGCTCTCATTTTGTGTATTGGCTTTTAGTAACAGGCAGTTTGTTACACAATCTAGATGTGTGTATTTAGGAGAATGTCAGCCATTTGAGACCTACTTTGTCCTTTTGCATTGTGTTTTACAACTGGTTCAGAACCTCCCCTTATTGATTACCTTTCAGTCTCAGTCAGTCGTGTCCTTTAAACTCACCCGGAGCATTTCAGGTCAGATCCGGCAGAAACAGGAAGGTAAAACACGCTGGCCTAACAGTCTGACAATCACTGACATGTGTATTGTTATTTTGGCACTTGGGTCCTAAGTGGCCTGTTAATAAGTCATTATCAGTCTGTTAGCAGTCAGTCTAATAAACAGCCTCTCGCAGACAAAGTGGTAGATTTGCTGCTTGGTGTGAGACCGGCCCAGTGTTTGTTCATGTAAAATAAATGACAACACTTTAAGTAAGATATGTTGTCTCTTTTCTGCCTGTTTCCTGATGTATCTTCACATGCCCATCAATTGCTTCTGACTTACTAATATTTAGGGCTGGAATGTAAAAACATTTAGCAAAAACAAATTGGTTAACCAACCACGGCAAATTAATTGGTTCCAGCTTCTTAAATCTGAGGATTTCCTGCTTTTAGTGTTTTAAACCACTGTAGATGGAACTTTTCTAGTTTAACAACTGATGGTTTATATCTATGAAACCATAATCAGAAAATAATCAACAGATTGTTTGATTGTGACAATAATTATTTGTTACTTCTTCCCTTTCCTCCTAGCAAACTGACCTAAACTCCTTCCTGTGGACGATCAAACGGGACCCTCCTTCATATTTCTACGGTACAATCCATGTTCCCTACACACGCGTTTGGGACTTCATTCCCGAAAACTCCAAGCAGGCCTTCCAGGAGAGCAACATCGTCTACTTTGAGCTGGACCTGACGGACCCTTACACAATCTCAGCCCTGACCAGCTGTCAGCTGCTGCCTCAGGGCGAGAACCTACAGGATGTCCTGCCCAGAGACATCTATCGGAGACTCAAGAGACACCTTGAGTATGTCAAACTCATGATGCCTTCATGGATGACCCCAGATCAGAGAGGGAAGGGACTCTATGCGGACTACCTCTTCAACGCCATCGCTGGGAACTGGGAGAGGAAGCGGCCCGTTTGGGTGATGCTGATGGTCAATTCGTTAACAGAGGCAGATATTAAGACACGAGGGGTGCCCGTGCTGGACTTGTACCTGGCCCAGGAGGCGGAGCGGATGAGGAAAAGGACGGGGGCAGTCGAGAAGGTGGAGGAACAGTGCCATCCACTCAATGGGCTCAACTTCTCCCAGGTGAGTTCAAAGCTCTACTAGTTGGCGCTGTTTTACAATTTGTTCCATTTCAGCAGTGTATGGAATCATCTATCTGTTTCTGTGTGATCTTACATTTGTGCTGATCTAATTGGGGGGAAATATGTTATACAATTATTTTTGAAATATATTCCTATTGCCAGGGAATTCAACATATTGGAAGAAAGATCCCTTTGCACTCTTTGACAACCAATTGACGATAGTGATTCTGGGCAGAAAGAGTTTTTGTCTTCATGCAATTTGTTTGTGGACATAAAACCACCACACAGATGCTTATTTGAAGTTCATTTGACAAATGACAAAGACTGTATATACTTATTTTTCACTCAAGTCTGTGGTGTATTCTTTTAGAGAGTTGACCTATAAATCCCCTTTGTGGCACCCCACACAATCTTTATTTTGTTGTCATAAAAATGTACCTAATATTCTTGGCAGTCTCAAAAAAAGAAATAGATTTAGAAATAGGTGTTCTGTATTTATATAGATGTTTGTGCCCTTTAATTTCTCAGCAGGTAAAAGATACTTCAAACGCAAAAGTACTGCTTTGAATGCATTATGTTGTTGTCATATAACCTTAGGCTATAATTAAAATGAGCGCAAGCCTGAAAAGGATTTTGGTGTATCCGCATCCATAATTAAGCTTTTATGTGTAGCTGCAGCTACGTTTGCAGACATATCTTATTAATCACTTCCACACGCAGATCTTGAGAGAATTTTACATTTGGGGAAAAAGCACTTTTATATTGAGTTGGTTCTCAGTATTGACTTAGTATGGTAAGCTGAATCGGTAGAGGTGGAGAAACAGCTGGATAGCCACAACCATTCCTCAGTACATCTTATGTGTGTGACGCAGCTGGTGGATTTACCTTTCACACATTTTAGGTCTGTTTCAATAAACGAAATGTCAAATCTTCTCCGCTGAAGAGGCTTCACATCTCATTAAATACACCAGTACTAAGTTGTGTAATACAAATGACAAAGACCAGTTGTATACATTCAGATTCATTTTTGTTTGAATGTTTACAGCAGATGCCTTTTCCCATAGCTTTGTTGAGTGGATGAAGGTGTGGTGTTATAATCAGCTGTAAAAACATTCAGCCGTGCTCCGCCGCGTTCTTTGTTATTAAAGAAAAATGGATCCTAATGACTAAAGTCTGAAATCGACAGAAAAAAAGGAACCTTGTTCCCCACAGCAGCGCACTTAAGTCCCCTTGTCTGCCTGTCTGTCTGTGCCCCTCGGTGACCCTTTGAGTATTACAAACATCTCTCAAAGGCAGCAGTCACTATGAAATCATGTTGCATATTATTGAGGAATTTTCTGCTAATGCTGGTCAGGAGCTAAGGGGATTACACTTGACCATTTAGCCTAACACCCAGATGCTTTAGGGTGTTGTTATTCTAAAGCAGGGCTGGTGGGCCTTTCAGACTATAAGTCTCTGCTCAAACCACCCAGCAGCACTGTTATAAGCATTCTCTTGAGTCTAAGAGGAAGAATGAGGCAATATTTTAAGTCTTGATAAACAAATGGAGTATTTGTAAGATTTAGCATTGCAAAGAGAAAGATGTTATTCTCCGGCTGAGATGAGATGATTTAGCTAACTGCTAAAGAAGCGTTCTCATTGGCTAAACAGTGAAGTTATATATTTCAGATACTCTTACACTTGTCTAATATTTCTCAGATCAGATGCAACACTTCCTAGTGTTATTTTAAATCACTAGAAGTGTTCTTGATGAGACGTCTGTGGTCTCCAGATATACTACAGCAGTTGGTTGACCTTTTTCTGTGGCTGTGTACATAATGACTGTTCTCTCTTGGAGGCAAAGGCAGGTGATGTTGCTATACAAGTGTCTTACTTTGACATTTAAAACCAGGGTTTGCATCAAGTTCCTCTTGTTTTATTTTAAAGCTAGAATTATGCTAATGGAGTCCCAGCATAGGTTGTAATTTGTAGTCAAGAGTCAAATTCCACCCATTGATATATTCCTCTTTGACTTCACTTTGGTGGACTACACATGAAACACGCAATAATTACATCCTGGTAACTTAACATTTTTAGTTGTCGGTTTACTAAATAGGAGACTACTCTCATGCAATCGCAGTGTTTATGTTATATATTTATGGTGTGTTTTTGCAGTAAACGGTTACTACTATTTCATTGTGCAACACTTTGTTGTGAAATGACAAATAAATCAGACATGTAACTTCTCATTGACTGTGACATACAGCAAACTGTTTCAGTCCAAAGATTTGCGGCAGACATGTTTGTTTTTCTTCCACTACATCAAAATTGTCTTCACTATCAACAATTTCCATCGGAAACTTGTTGGAGGAGCTAGATCATAGTTCCTGAGGTTCCATTGTGAAACCATCAAAGCCCCAAGTTTGTAGTTTTAAGAAGGTATACATCAGCCATGTTGTACCCACAGTGCCTTTGCCCATAGGTACCGTCATAAGTGGATGTAGTAATTGGAATGTCACCCATTGGCCTTTGGACGATGATTTTGAATCCTCCAGTTTGGCATTTCCCTTTGTCCCCAACTTTTTTTTTTTTTGGCTGTGAAATCAATTGAGAAGTCAGTTTTTCATAGAATGCATTTGGACTTCTTTTTGCAACAAGTGGAGATTCCCCATTGGCTATTTGAAAGAATCAAAGTTAGATGCAGCGTCTTCACTTTTTGTCACTTTCCAGACCTGGAGTTTGCTACAGCATAACAACTAACCTAATCCTAAAGGATGTGGCAGACCATCATGAATCATTTTCATAATTGATGTATTGGTTTCTGTTGGAAGACATTCATAAACTCCTTTTTTCCATTCAAACATTGGAACTTGTTATTATGGATATCACAGAAAGAAAGTGGGTGGCCGAAATTGGGTTTGTCAACACGGCTATAAAGAGGGAAAAACCTCCCATCATCACAGCTTTCATTGAATTAGGTCCACAAAGCCTCCAGAGGGCTCAACAATGAATTATAGTGTCCCAGAAACAACCCCTACCCTGACACTGCACCAGCACAGCACATAGCTTGGCACTCCATAATTTCCACACTCGGTTTCAATCCAATCAACAGCAGCTTGATGAACGCCTGGCTTGAAGCAGCCCGCTTGATATTTCAGTAAACATTTACTTTCGCAGTTTTTCAGTGTCGTTGAAAAGGGCAATGCCATTTAAATCCCTCCGGCTTAACTAGAGTGAAAGATGTCCAGATAGTGTGATGAGTGAGATACACTCTTGGTGAAACATATCGCCGCCTCAGACGCCATTCTTGATTGAAAATACTGTTAAATGAGGCTACAACTGGAGAACCAGTTTGTTTTCACTGGCCATTTTTCATCTGGCATGAAAAAGACTTGAGAGAAAAGGGGAAGGCAAATTGAAAATATAGTAGTTTATGTATAGAAGTAGTAAACATTTCTATTTTCAGGCCTCTGTTGAAGTTTGTGTGCATGCTGATTGGATGAACGTTTGTCTGACTGGTTGCTTTTTATCAATTTGGGGAATCATGGTTGCTTTTCTGGAGTCCTGGAGACAAAAGTACTATGATGTTTAAGGTGGGATTAGTTTTTGTTTTTTTTAACATTGTGAGTCGCTGCTCTGATTAATTACTGCAAAGCCAATACTACTTGATGATCAATCAATCAATCACCTGCTGAGCTGAATCAGGCGGATCTTGAAATCACATATTATCAATGTGGCTTAGTGCTGCACGATATTGAAAAAAACTGACATTGCGATATTTTTTCCCCCTGCGATATATATTGCGTTTTTTTAACTATATTTAACCGGATGAAGGATTTTAGTCACGGACGTCTGGATCTTAACTGGTTGACTCATCATACCTTAAGTCATGATCTAACATGTCATCATAATGCATGTTGCTTATCCTCAATTAAGGGGGTTAATCTGTGAATGAAGAAGAGAAGAACCTTTTTGTATCCAAAATAGTTCCAGATGGCAGATGTTGCTGTTCTTTTTGGAAGGTGTTTTGATGGTCTGCAAACTAGCGGGGCGGGGCCTGCTGTGATCTGATCAAGAATGATTGTGATTGGTGGTTTGCTGTGCATGCAGAGCCTGCATGTCACTCACTCAAGTACCCCTGACATGAGAGCCGCGCAAGTTTTCCTTTTGTAGCAAGCAGCAAAATAATTGTAACATGACGTGTTTGAGTTAATGTACCTTCTTAATATCGCACGTCCTAAAAAAAAATAAAAAATAAAAATAAAAAAATTAATAAAATCGCACGTCCCTGCGATGTGAATATCGCCATGCACATATCGCGGTTATCGCCATGACACGATATATCATTGAGCCGCAATGTGGCTGTTTGAAAACACCCAGCTCTTGCTTTAACATTTGTACGGCTGAATTAACATGGATTCTAGCAGATAGTACACAGCCAACCAAGTGTCATTTAAGTCAACGAGAGTAGGACGGGAAAATGATAAGTGAGAAAGGAAATACAGTATGAAGGACAGGTGGACGAAATTGCTATCCAGAGGTAAAAACGAAAATGATTTGACATTAACTTGTCACATGGCATGTCCCCATACCAGTCGATCTTGAATGAGGAGCTAATTATGAACAAAACGGAATCATCTGATCAGAGCAATCCTACTGAGATATGCCAAGAAGCTCAATGCATTACCGGAAGAATAAAGATAGACTTAAAATATTTACATTTTTATTTTCCTTCCCCCTGTAAACAATCCATCTTCGCCATAGCAACATATTGCCAAGCATGTTTTGTTTGCCGTCCTGACATTCTGTTGGACTGTTGTTCAGGTTGTGCTGTGATTTCCAAAAGGTATTGTCTGTCTACCATCTGCCTGATTCCATATGAACGCAGCATTAGACTTATAGGATATAAAATAGCTCAAAGCATGAAAAATGAGGTGGTTTTTATCTCGTTTTACAAGTGATGTGTCCATTTTTGCCTACCATTATGAATTAAGCCCATTGAGCTCATTATTTTCAAACCAC